TCCGTCTCGCCATCTTTGCATTAATAATTAGAACAAACTATATAGTTGAGTAGTTATACAAAAAATAATAATTGGATATCGTGGCGGTGAAATATCCTGGCATTCAAGTAATAAATAATTGTGATGAAACGCAATTATGTTACTACTTGCCGATAGAACTAACTATTAGCACAGTATTAGTATTGTTAATGTAAATGTGTAAATGTATCGTATGTGTAACTGACAAGCAGAGGAAAAGTTTAGGAAGTGGTATTTGAGAAAAAAATCCTTCGTCAATCATAGAGGTGAATGATAAATAACGTCACGATGAAAAAATCACGATGATCCGCCGTCAAACAGTATCACCGTGACTCGTACCGAAGGAACGACGTTCCAAAGTCACATAGGTGTTCCTCCGTTCCAATAGCTATCCCCGACACTCACATCACGACATACGTATTTGATACGATGCGCGATCTCCGTTCCGTGGTGACTGAACGCGCCACTCGTTGTAGTTCTCTTTAAATCGGGCCATTTCGGCGATGGGAGTGAATGAAATAGAATGACTTTCTTTGCTCACTCAGAAGGGTCGTAGATGCTTAATACTACTAGAAAAGGCGGATGAAAAAATCTGCAGCAAATATTATAAACCTATTTATGAACAAAGTAAAATACTTTTGTATATTTGTTTTATTATAGGAAGAGTTGGTATTTTAAATTTATGTATAATCTAGTTTGTGTATTCTACTAGAAATATAATTGCATTACACTTTATTGCTATTTTTAACAATACAAAGATTAGCATTAAATAAGTAACAAACAAAATTACATTAAATACAAAATCAACTTTTTGAATGGAATTAAAACTTATTACAAAGGGATTAAAAACTTAAACAAATCATTCTATAAAAAACGGCTATAAGTATTAGAAAGAAAAGAAGCCGCAGGCTAAAACCGTAAATCGTGATGTAAGTTATAGGCGTGACAAGGTTACGGAAGTAACAGTCGTGACAAAATCACGATGATTTTTCACTGTGATTTTTTTGGAACCGGAACGACGGTCACGGCGATAGAAATGTAACGCTATTCCCCATGTCTAGTCAATCTATATTGTATGTAGGTATTCTACAGAGCTGTAAATAAGTCAACATTCTCTATCGCACTAGAATAACATGGCTACACCAATACGACAGGCATATTTACATATGCCTTGTGTAAATTAATATAATATTGTCTCAAAAAATATCAATTTGAAAAAAATGGCGGGTTTTGTAGTTACAATTTTTACTTATTAAATGTTTCATTATGTTTTGACTTCTGACGACTCTATAGCCAATGCTCGATTTAGAAGATACAAGATATTGTCTTTTTAAGTAAAAGGAGTTATAGTGATTAAAACCACCAAATATTAAATAATTTTGAATATATCTACTTTGGAACATCATGATCCGATCATTGATTAAAAGTCTACGAGTCTAGTAAACCAAAACATGACGTATAATAATGTGATATCTAATCTGTTAACCTCACCCAACAATATTGTAGTACGTGTACAGTGATAGCAGTAATTTTAGATAGGTACCTAACAGGTTAGCGGTATAGTGTTCAACATTAGATCTAATCTCCACCCGGCCGGTCGCCGTAGCCAGTATACAAGTATGTAAGTAGTATAAAACACAAATAAAGATATATAGTATATTACAGAATTCAACCGAAAGGAGTCAACTGTTTAATGTCCAACGTGTAGTCTAAAAACCCTTTTATAATTCTTTGGTAAGTTCAATTATGGAACCATACATTTACATAATGTCAAAAATATTTTCAACATTTCATTGTTTTAGTAATTTTAGCATCTTTCGTTTGTTTTTAATTGTCGAATCAAATTAAATAGGTAATGATTTTGTTGTACTTTTTGAGTATTAGCAGCACTACACCCGCATGCAGCAGTGTAAATATTTGAAGTTAAATAAATTAAATTAACATAATATTAGCACAGAATAATAGTAATCAATGCATAACATATTTAGGCCTAATAAAATCATACAATACCTACTTCAGCTGATTTTGAGTTGGACCTTGATTTTTTTTTATTGGTTTTGGCAACAAGGTCAACAAGTAAACTAAATTGGGCCTTGATATTATTATTTTTATTGTAGATCATGACAACAGAAAGCTTATACTGGCTTATACTATGATTTTTTTCCATCCATGAGAAAATCCTCAAATGTTTTAATTTACTGAGCATTGGATACATAGCCGTTAGCTTAAAAAGATAACAAATAATTAAGAAACTCAAAATGTAATACTTAAACTAAGAATTAATTCGAGCAGAAACTGTAACTACAAAAACCGAAACCTCCTACTGATTTTCAGTTTTAGGAAATCATAGGTTGTCGAGAAACATTTTTTTGAGCATTGTGAATAACTACAGCAAAAAACACACTTGAGAATTGTTAGGAAAAAATGGTTGTCTTTAGCAGTTACGTTTTTACACTAATTATTTTTTAGTTCAAATTTAGTAGGTACATTACGTTTTGAGTTTCTTAATTATTTGCAACTCTTTTAGCTGAAGGCTCAATAGCGGTAACCTATCACAAAATCGAATATTTTTTTCGAAATAACGCTTCGATAAATAACGTTCGAATTTTTATTACACCGAAAACCGAATTATAACGAAACCGTTGTTCTTTCAGGATAATATACGTTGGATGTTTATCGCAAAGACACGACTAGGTTAGGTTAAGTTAGGTTTAAAAGAAAAAAAATCTTCTCAAAATTACTTTCGAGGTTATGAAAATTCGAGCAAACGTTATTTCTGGAAAATGTCATTTCGGACTACTGATAAGTAACCCTCTATAGCCAATGCTCATTAGAGAAATAATAATAGTCAGTGCATGCATGCTAGATAGATTAAGCGCACCGACGAAACTTTTTTTGTTGCGTTTCGATATTCCAGTCATTCTAAAGCCAATGCTCATTATATAAATAATACTTATTAATAATAATAACAAAATTGTCAGTGCACCTTTAATTAATTTGTTCTATATAAGCGCACTGACGAAGATTGTGTTGCGTTTCGATATTCCAGTCATTCTATAGCCAATACTCAATATATAAATAATGATAATTGTCAGTGCACGTTTATTTAAATTGTTCCGTACAAGCGCACTAACGACTCTTTTTTTGTGTGCGAACTTTTGACCCTTTGTAAATACTTTCTCTTTATTATTATTTTTTACATTTTTAGTATTTGGGTTTAGTTCATTCTCGTAAAATTATTGTTATGTAGTTTTAAGCTGATGCCTTCTAGCCAAAGCTCAATAAAATAAAAAAAGCTCTTGTTGTGTTGCGTTTCGATATTTCAATCATAATAACGCGTGTAGTCTTTTGATAATATTTTTTTTTACTTCTTTTCAAAACTTCTTAGGGCTGTTTAGCATCTGAAGAGATTTCAGCGTCGTAGTCAGGCCCTTTTTCTGACACAGTACACCTAATTCTACACTCCGACGCAATATAACATTCCACACCATATCCGCATCCGCAAACCAAGACTAACTTTTTCCTTATTGTACCTATGCCATAAGCTTGCTTGTAATGTACAGTCAAGAGCACGTCACTTGACTTTGTACTTTGGACCGTTCTTACCGTAAGAGGCATAGAGTTGGATTTCCATCTTAAATGTCAAGCTTGACGTGCTCTTGACCCTGTACTGCAATTCATGAGTCACACTCAGAGCAGGTACCGGTGGGGGTTCTCTAAGAGTGCAATTATTCTCCGCATAACATGGTCCACCTAACATCCTGCAAAGCTAACCTTGACACAGCACGCTACATTTTGCTACCCATTTTCCTACATGTATCAGATATAAACGCGGACTATGCATGAACTAAGACGCTGCGTACCAAACCTGAACGAAAGCTCACTTATATTGATTCAAATTTTCTCGATTTTCACACGTTTGAGTCCCTTCGAGACCAAGGACGTTGCAATACGTCCGAAACGCCGAGGTAAATAAAATATGTTTTAATACGTCCATGTTTATCATACATTTTTCTGTTTGCCCAGCAGTCCTGCAAAACAGCTAAAACAATTCTGGTAGGCATTGACATGCATCGGCGTATAGGTTAATTACTGCTATTTTGGATAACTAGCATTTGAAGAGCGCATAAATATAACGTGTGTAATACCAAAAATCCGTGGTAGTAACCCGTTTAGCTCATGGAGGTAGTCTCGATCTCTGATGTCTTTGATGTACAATATTAAATGTTATTTACAAAGAGCAACCCCTAGAGTTTCTTGCTCATTCTTCTCAGGGGAATCTGCCTTACGAATGAGCGGTAGAGTTTAACCATTGTGACGATTTCAAGTGTAATAATGCTTACCTATGAAATAAAGATTATTTTGAATTTGAATTTGAATTTGAATTTGACTCAATGCCGCGACACAATATTCTCCTACACCTTTATCAAGTTACCCATACCCATACAAAAGACACTTCAAACTGCTCAAGAAAGCTTTATACGTATTCCAACAGAACACATTTGGGTACTAGGTATCACAGACGTAACTGAACGAACAAGCGTTCGCCGGGTGGTAAGCGACACGCCTATCTGTAACGGTTGGAGTGCTACTCAGAGTTTTAATCGTGAAGATGTGAGGGGTACTGCCACCGGGCCCGTTACCTAGAGATAAAGTTAACAAGTCTCCTATGCTTCTAGTTTCATCAGCACACTTTTACCCCTCAAAACCGGACTACTATAATACTCACATCACTGCTTGGCGGCATAAATAAGTGCGGAGGCAGATATTCACTGGATGAATTCTGTCGCAAAGAGCTTTACTGCTACTTGATTCGTTACTAATGTGATGTTGTCGATGTATGGACTATTGGAAACCAGAACTTTGGCCAGAGAACGTGTTAAATTAACAAAAAATCGGTCATACCACGGCGCGGTGGCATAGACAAGCTTCCTCCCAAAATTAATTAATTTTGTATGTAAATTGTTTCAGAATAAAACTACACAATGTCTGAGGAAGACTACACAACTCTTGTTAATGTATGTCCTGCATTAACCAAGGAGAGGCTTTCCAACGCTCTTACCAAGTGGTTTGCAGAAAATTTCACTTTCACCCATTGGGAGGTAAATCCATTGATTCAACTGCTTGATGTATTAGTGCAGAGAAATTTAAATACCTATGTTCTCACGGGATATATGTGTTATAATCAATTTAATTCAGAGTTTACGGATTAGGGATTTGTAAGTTCGCTAAAATTTATATGTACTTTCGGACACATAATTTGGGCCACCTTGCATTTTCAATATTAAATGCCCTTAGCTTAAACAATGCTTGATTTTTCAAAAATGCTATTATGCAACTTTGTAACTGGTATATTAAACGTCATTCCCTTAAGTCCTTTTTGAAAATTTGAATTTAAAGAACTGGAGAAAACTTTTTCTTCGATGATAACTATATTTCTATATTCTAACCCTTTAAGGATAAAAATGCAAGGTGACTCGAATTATGTGTTCGGGAGTGTGCTGGTAACATAACTATACAATTTTATTGCCTAAAATTTACTCATAAGAATTTGAAGATTGATTGTATACTAGAGTGTGATCAATTCATGCTGAAAAATTAATTCAACGAAATAAGTACTGGTCCTGTTTTGAATGAAGTAATTGTATCATTTACTCAGGGAACTGGGAATAATACGTAATAATACGTCGATCGACAGACTATATTAGCGGCATTATGGCGTTTCAGTACATTAATCAGGAATACGCGTTTGTGGCGCAAGATTACATAAGTACAATCACAGTATTACATTATGTGATACCATCTGGCGGTTAAGTGATTGCTGATTTACGATTGTGCAGAAAATTGTACCCTAATGAGTGACAGTCATCTCTAGAAGTCACGTTAGGAAGTGGATGTTGATAATTCAACATCCGCTTCCAGGCTCCTAGTTGTTGTAATCAACATTGTAGAATTTTATTAGCACATAGACGTTTAACTTCGGAGATAATTAAAAAGGAGAGCGTTTGTGAGTGAACCCACTAATGCGACAAATGTGAAACCAAGAATGATTAACGCTTTCGATAAAGTTAAACCACAGAGGGACTGGGAATCGCAGGTTGTACTAATTTGTTAATCAATGTAAATAGTTGATTCCAATTGTACCCATTCCAAAGCTTACGTTTGTTGACTGCCACTGTCTTACGTTTTTTGGTAAACACAAATTTTAATTCCGCAATGTATAGATAGGGAATGAAGTATACGCCAAAACTCGAATTTACACTGTACTGCTAAAGAACTTCATAGACTGTATTATTATTATGTCTGGTTTATTTTCAGAACCTCGGCGGGTTTGGAAAGGGCGATTCTTATCTCAGCGAGTTAATGCGAATAAAGATACATGGAAAGAATCAAAATGGCGAATCCAAATACGTCCAAGTAATTCTTAAAACCATTCCCAAGAGCGTAGCAAGTCGTCTTACGTTTAGAAGTGATGAATTCTTCAGAAACGAAATTAATTTCTATGAAATTGTATTGCCTGCTTTACTAAAATTTCAAGCAAGTAAAAACGTTACTGAACCTTTTACGAACTACGCGAAATTGCTCTTAAGCTACTCCGATGGTACAAACGATGTATTATGCCTTGAAGATGCAACCACGGAAAATTTCGGAAGCGCAGTAAGACAAGAAGGCATTGATGTTGAACATTGCAAACTAACTTTCAAAACGTTAGCACAATTTCATGCTATGTCAATTGCAATGAAAGCACAGAAACCTCAAGAGTTTGATGCTCTAAGAAATGCTATATTTGAAACCTACTGCGATGACAGACTGTGGGATTGGTATGAACGTTTCTGGGAAATGATATTTGCCATAGCTATTGATGCTGTTGAGAAAGAATATCCAAATACTCATTATGTAGAAGTAATACGAGAATTATCTGATAAAAAGCACTACAAGGACATGGTCAAAGCAGCAACCAGAACGTACGAGACCGGTGTCATTACGCAAGGAGATTGTTGGACAAATAATTTTCTTTATAAATATCAAAATGGGAAGCCCGTCGATTCTAAGTTGATTGATTTTCAAACTACTCGGTGTGCCAGCCCGGCATTAGACATTTCTTTTGTTATTTATGCTTGTACAACTCAAGATATGAGATTGAAACATTATGACGACTTATTGCAATATTACTATGAAGTATTAGCCAGGCAAGTGAAGGAGATGGGAACTGATCCAGAGAAAGTGTATTCCAAGGAGACATTTATGGACAATATCAAGAAGTATTCTTATTTTGGAATAATTTACAGTTTCGAGTCTACACCCTGTATTATTTTGGATCCCGAGGATGCTTTTATCGTGGAATTGGAGGTATGTATAAGATGTAATAAGATCATTAAGAAAAACTTTTTTAACTGTATGTCGAAAGTTGTTCCCCGACAACTTGGGATTGTTTTCCAGTGGCTATTGATAGTTAAGCCTAGTATTTGTTTGGTCCGTGGTAGAGCCATTAGTCATCCACTCATCATATTACGAACACAAGCGCAAAAGGCGCGTTTTCGCTTTAATGGGACACGTGGTGTGAAATAAGCTCTAGCCCATCTTAGATTGTTCCTAACCACGTATCTGCCCTATATTTTAATTTAATTCAATTTGAATGATAAATGACGTCATTCGGACATCTATTACCTTTCAAAAAAAAATTCTAATGTCAAGTGTCAAGTACCTAGTCTATTCTATGGATACGAGTAATTTACAAATGTTGTACTGGCCGGCATATTTTGTGCCCTAGCCTTATATATTCTTTATTGCACCAAATAAAATACATCAGAAATATTAGATTAACAGAAAGTGAGCAAAGGTGAACTTATCTCTAAAAGAGATCTCTTCCAGCCAACCCAGGACAGTGAGAGCTAAGGTTATAAGCGGGCAATAGCGTGCAAGAGAGTGTGCGGAAGAAATAGAATAAATATAAATAAAGTAGGTACATAAATAAAAAAATACAGTTTCTTGCATAAGCATTATAATGAATAATAAGAAATAGCATCAATATGTAAATAGTGTACAATATATTTATATGTGTACCTGTATGTATATATGTATACATATATATATACATATATACATAAATAAGTATGTACAAAAAATACAATAAGATGATTACTAATATAGTTCAGCAAGAAAGTGCGCTTTTAACCTTTTCTTGAAAGAAGCGATAGACGGGATAGACTGGATATGGGAAGGAAGTCGGTTCCACAACTGCGTTGCACGAGAAGAAAAGGAGTTAAAAAAGTAAACACTTTTACGGTTAGGACGAACGAGCATATTAGTGATGCACGGACGCCTTGAACGGGTGGGAGGAGGTACCTACTGGAACCGGGAACGAAGGTAGGAAGGGCAGTTGGCGTTATGAAGTATATTAAAAAGGGCGGACAGGATATGCACATCACGGCGAAGGCGAATTGGTAGCCATTTTAACCGAGCGCGAAATTCAGAAACACGGTCAACTTTACGGAGACCGAAAATAAATCGGATAGCCAAGTTTTGTAGGCGCTCTAGTTTATTCATAAGCTTTTCGGTCACATCTAATAACAATAGTCGAGTAAGGGGAGTAGAAGAGTTTGCGCAAGCATAATTTTTGTATGAAAAGGGAAAAGTATTGGAGTCGTTTGAGAGAGTGAAATGAGAAGTGCATTCGTCTGCTAACCTCGTTGACATGAGAAGTCCAAAACAATGTGCTGTCCATTACTAGACCTAGATTTTTTGCTTTGTCAGTATATCAAATGGGAATTCCATCATAAACCAACGCAGGTACCGATGACCAATCCAACTTGCACCTTAATCTGCTACTGCCTACAATCATGGCTTGAGACTGAGCGGGATTAACTAAAAGGCCAAATGATTTAGCCCATAACTGTATGGCAGACAAATCAAAATTGATGGCCGCAATTGCTTCAGATATCTCGCCCACCTCAAAGTTACGATAGAGTTGAAGATCGTCAGCATATAGATGGAAGGGAGAAGAAACGACACGGGAAATATTATTAATGAAAATGGAAAAGAGTAAGGGAGAGAGTACGCCGCCTTGGGGCATACCAGCAGTTAAGCTAGACCAAGATAACGAGCCATCATTGATTTTCACGCACTGCTGGTGACCAAAAAGATAAGAAGAGAATCAACTTAAAACAGAAGAGGGGATATTAACCGCCTGAAGGCACCAAGGAGAATGTCAAAGTCAACAGAGTTAAATGCGTTGCTGAAATCCAAGAGGGCAATAACAGTGAGCCTCGTATCATCCATAGCACGACTTATGTCTTCCGTAATGTTCAGTAATGCTCCAACAGTCCTATGAGATGGACGAAAGCCAGACTGAAACGGACATAAAAGGTTATGGGAGGAGAGGTAAGAATAGAGTTGTTCATGGACGATAGATTCTAGGGCTTTGGAAAGAATAGGTAGAATGAAATAGGACGGTATTGTGTGAAAGAAGTAGGATTCGGAATTTTAGGGAGAGGTATGACTCAAGATTTTCTCCATTGTGTTGAAAAGACATTGCGCGAGAGAGAAAAATTTATAATATGACCCTTATGTTATTTTCAAACATCTGTCCATAAAATGTGTGATAATTTTTTCTTAATTTTTTAGTCTCCAAACTTGGTCACTAGCGGTCTGGTGATTTAACATGCTTTCAAAGGGTTTTCGTAAATATTGTCTGACGAGGATGATTGTGCATCTAGCAACTAAAGTCGACTTATGACTTAATTTTATTTCAGGGTGATCAGAAAATGAACATCGCAGATGTATGGAAACTAGAACCGATCAAAACAAAGGAGGGCAGACTACGTGTGGCCAATAATTTGGTATTTGGTGTTGACAGGGGATATATACCTAAAAATGTATAAAATTCTAAACAACTGCAATACATATTGTTTAAAGAAATAAGTTATTAATAATTTGGTTTATTGGGATCAGCTAATTCCAAGAGCAGATGATACAGAGTTACTTTTTTTAAATCGGAAACACAAGTTTGTGTTGAGATGTTTTTTTCGTACCCAACCCACATACTTAGAGGATGGAAAAAAATAAATTGAAATGTGACAGGTGCATTGGCAATGCCCTGTCTGTACGATTTAAAGCTCTGAGCGATATGGCACTGCAACTGTAATGTGTGAACGTGTCGCTTACCACGAGTCGCACGAATTGTTCTTGGTACATACTAAATCTACGGTCCCATCACATGATTTTAAAAAAATGGTATGAGCGTAAATGGGGTTAGCTACGGGTATAAGTAGTGTAGTGTGAACGTACAGGGTCAAAAGCATGTCAAGCTTGACACTTAAGACTTTAATCCAAGTATGCCGGTTACGATAAGAACGGTCCAAAGTACAAAGTCAAGCTTGACGTGCTCTTGACTGTACTTGAAGCAAAACATATGAAAACATGCGATTCAAAAGATTTTCGATTAAACAAAATGCCTTTGTAAAATTTATAGCATATCGTGACGTATTACTGTTTGTGACTTTGTTTATGCTCGACCAGTTTATTATTATTATTGACACAAATATCGAACACAAAGAAAATTCCATAGATCTGATTGGACTCGAACCAGGATCAGTTGCCATTCCGGGGCCACCGCTTTTAACCAACTGAGTTGCAGACGAGTCAGCAGACATTACGAATTTCTATACGTGTTCGTTACAGATTTTTGCATCGAGTCTTTTACACGGCGTTTTTTCACCTATTAAAAAGAAACTATTGGAAAAAAATAAAAGAACAAGAAACTTATTTTCATATGTAAGTTTTTTGTCGAATTGTTGAATCCAAATTAAAGATGAAATTTATATCCGGTTCGGCCAAATCACCATCTGTTTTACATCTCATTTTAATATATTGTTATCATTAGATGTAATACATTTTCTTAGATGTAATACATTTTCTTCATGACTGTGGCATCACAGTACATTTACTCAAATATTTTATACGCCCGTAAAAATATACAGCAATAAATAGCAATTCAATAAGAAAGAAGATATCCATAATATTAACCTTAGAGCTAAATCCAAACTCATGGTACCACGATTTCGTTTAACCAAGGTAAACAACTCTTTTATGGGGAACTGTATACGTTTTTACAATAAGATTCCGGAGCATATATTAAGTTTATCGTTTCCTAAGTTTAAAAACTACATTAAAAATATTTTGATCGAAAAATCATATTACAAAATTGAAGACTACGTGTTAGATAAAGATGTATGGAAAGACGACATGGCTCCAGAATCCACACAAATTTGATTCAAAGTGTATTCCATAGCACTTAAGTTTATTTGAAAAGACCAATCCCTAGAGTTTCTTGCTCGTGCTCGTTCTTCTCAGGGAGGTCAGCGTAATGAACGAGCAGTAGCTTAAATGTGACGTTTTCAAGTATAAATTTATTTTACCTATGGAATAAATAATCTTTGACTTTGACTTTGACTTAGATCAATTCCATACAGTAAAGAAAAATAAGGAAGTAATATAGTAAGTAATTTAAGAGAACTAAGCAGAATGTGGATTCCGTATCAAATCGCTGCTGTCTTTCTTATTTTTCTTTTTTCACTGTTCTGGGGCTTTACCATGAACTCTTATTACGATTCAGTTTAGGACGTAAAATGAATCATTGTGAGACAGCGCTACATGAAGTGTATTTCACCATCCCGCTTTTTTGACGTTACAAACCTACACTGAACTGTAATAAGAGTTCGTGGTAAGGCCCCTGCACAAAATTTACGCGCGCAAAATTTTACAATTGTACATTGTTGATTCCCCATTGACTTAACATTTGAAACTCAAAAGTCAAGCATAGGTATCGATTGGGGAACGACCGAGTAATTAGCTTCGTAGATTGTGCAATTTGAGTAGATACCAAGAATGCTTCGCTTGCTGCGCTTCTACTTATCACAATGGCGACCTATAATAATCTAAGTAGCCACTACTTGTTATTGAAAATGTAAAATAAAACATATTTCTTTGTCAGTCTTGTTTTTTATTTGCCTGCTTCTATTTATAATTAATACTTAATTGTTTATTGTCAGTACCTATTTACTTATATTGCTATTAAATTGTATATGGATCGTAATAGTCCGAAATAAATGATATGAATTTGAAAATGAACTGTTTTAATCAAGCACGTATAGCAAATCTTCCTTTTTTACTGATCCTGAGTTACAAAAAAAGATGATAATATTAATTTCGATTACGAAATTTTTTGTATCTAGACTACCTACATACTTAAATTCTGCATTTATGTCCAACGCACATTTAAAAAATGCTCTTACGTACGACCTCGGGGTGCTAATGAAATTCAAACTATTTATAGACAGGACTGAATGTAGGCACTTAAAAAAAATCTAGAAACGGATCACCCTATTCCTAGACTTTCACAAAATGTAACCTTGTAACGTGCAGTAATTTATGTACCTACCTATTTTACAAAGTATTTTAGATGAAATGCTTTTGTTTTAGTAAATACATTAATTAAAAATAACACCAAATTAATGTTTATTTGTGAGAAATGAGCGGAGAATCATTATTTTTTTCAAAAATTCATTCATCTTACGACTACGTGCAAACCTTTGCACCAAACTTTTGCGAAGTAACCTTACTTCCTTATATGATAACGATGAGTGTTTTGTTTTAATTTACTAAAATAACAATTGACATTGCATTTCAATTAAAGTTGTGTTTTATGCCTTCGGTTACAATATAATACAATACACTTCACATGTCACATCTTTCAGAATACGTCAGAAAAATAAAATTTCTTATGAGAAAACCTTTACTTCAAAAATTAAAACACAAGATCTATCGGCTGTACCTCATCTGTATGCTAAACGTCAAACGAAGTGCACAGGAATCATCCTAAAACGCATAATTCTACTATCTTTCTATTTCTAATTTGTGGCACAAACCACACAAACCACTAATATTCAGTGTCGTGTTTAATATTGTATAGGTAAGGTTTATATTTTTGTAAGTATGGCCTTATTGCGTACCAGTACTTATGTATTTAAAAAACTTTTACATTTTGTTGTACTCCTTGTTGAAAGTTGATTTCACTCTTTTTAGAATTTGGTATGCCCAAAAACGGCATTTTGCTTAGGTACTATAAAATAACAGCTACAATATTTTAAAAGTGTAGTTAAATAAGGTTAAAAATTAACTTAAGTTTTAACAAAACTAAACGAAAACCCATCAAAGAAAGAAAACATGCATGCGTTTTGTTATAGCAGCAGACAAAGCCGTTTGCGTTTTGTTACGTTTCGTCTGCGTTTCGTTACCGCGCACCGCCATTATGTACAATATATAATGTGACACGTTAATCTTCTTCTTTTAAATGTTATGGCCCCATCGAAATAATCAATGATTTTGCCAATGTCAAGTAAAAATAACTATGTACGGTAGTTTTAATATTATTATAAAATTTATACAAAAAAAATGGCGATTTCGCCAATGTCCTGTGAGTTATTGTGACACGTTATGTTAATTTCATTTAACTAACACATTGTCAAGGTCACACGTGTCTGTCAACCTATATAAATATCAGATAAATATCTATTCAATAATATAATAACTACCTAGCAATTTGTAAAATGATAGCAGTGATTTCAAAACACTAATATAAACACACACATTCAAATTTATCAGAACAAGTGAAAATAATCAGAGGTTTTTGATAAGTAGGTAAGTAGTTATTTAACAGAGATAAGTAAATATTTATTTATCTATTTAATTTGTCCTTTAATCGTTTTCGTTGTCTCTTTCAAATAATCAGTGCAAAAAAATCGAAACAAGTTAAATTAATCAGAGACAAGAGATTTTTGATAGCCTACCTATTAGAAATCTCTGTCTCCTGTCTCTACGTACTAATAATGTAATCTGCTATGCTTACCCACTCAAGCGCTTCTTCCTCCGTTCAGGAGATATAGCCCCTGCGCACACTTACCCACAAGTATTTGTATACTTACATATGACTAGGAAAACTCTGAAAAGTGCTATTTTGGTGCGAATAAAAATGCCATGTTTAAGTACCTATCCCTCAAATACGCGTGCGTATTTCGACGTAATGTTTTCCTTGTTTTTATCAAGTTTCTTGTGCCGATTTTTTGTTTATCTATAGTTCTATGCAAATGGCAAAATGTGCCTCATTCATATCCACTTTGAAAGGCTCAAAAAACTTACATGTTTCAGAGATGCCGCATATATTTTAGTAGCAGTAGAGCTCCTTGTGAAAGAGTTTGTCCAGGGAAGTACTGCCACCTTACCTATTTCTGCCACCATCCACCAAGCAATAATGTCAGTATTACCTACTGCGTTCCGGTTTTTGAAGGATAAGGGTGCTGGTGAAATTACAGGCACATGGGACTCGTCAACTTAGTGCCCCTCAGATCTTTGCGATTTAAAGCTCTGAGTGGCACTGCAACTGTTATGAAGAGGCGTGTAGCTCGCCATTAGGCGCACGACTTGTTCGTCCTGTCACTCAATAGGTATTAAATCAATGTTAATCTTCACATTATGCAAAATTTATCTCAACATTCATTAATTTAATTTGTGCATTGTTTCAGTTAAATGCACAATGTCTGACGACTCCTACACAACTCTTGTTTATGAATGTCCTGCATTGACCAATGAGAGACTTTCCGATGCTCTCACCAAGTGGTTTGGAGAAAATGTCACCTTCACCCATTGGGAGGTAAGTCTATTGATTCAATTGCTTGTGAAATTGTGACTAAATAAACGAAAGCATTTGAAAATAATCCTAGTGTTGACAGGAGAGGAAGCTTTTTCACCAAAATTCCGTCACATGACTACCACACTGCCCAAATCTAGCTTATCAACTTTTGAATATATTAATTATATTTATACGCATATCTAATTAAGTAAAGTAGTTTAAGGTTTTTATTTCTACTTAGCATGACTTCTACAGGATTGAAGGTATTGACACTATTTGGTTGGTAAAAATTACACAAAATAAAAATATTTCATCCGAAGAATGTTTAATATTGCTTGGGCAATCTACGTCTACCATCATTCGTCATTTTAGTCGAAAAACGAGGAAGAAGTGCAAGGAAGGATATCCCGAGCCGGGGGTATAAACGTTCCCATGGAGGGATCCGTAGCTTCGAACGCTTGAATTTATATACATAGTGAAATTTCTATTTTCGACAATGTTCTTTGTTTCGCAAAAGTTTCGGGCAAAAACCTTCATGCCAAAAAAATATCATCTTACAAATTACCTCAAACACAGCAAAATTTAGCTATACCATTCACGTTGTGCGTGAGACGGCAAAATTCAAGAAGCTAATGCTGTCCTACAGAGCAAAACCACAACTTAATACACTGTGTACTTGATTTCTAATACATTTAACAAAACATCTTATTTAATTTCCAGAACATCGGCGGATTAGGAAAGGGCAATTTCTACATAAGCGAGTTAATGCAAATAATAGTATATGGGAAGAATCAAAATGGTGAATCCAAGTCCGTCGACGTTATGGTTAGAAACATTCCCAAGAGCATTGCAAGTCGTCTCACGTTTAGAAGTAATGAATTCTTCAGAAACGAAATTAATTTCTATGAAATTGTTCTACCTGCTTTACTAAAATTCCAAGCGAGTAAAAACGTCACTGAACCTTTTACGAACTACGTGAAATTGTTCTTCAGCTACTCCGATGGTACAAACGATGTTTTATGCCTTGAAGATGCAGGTATGTTGGGTTTCGTAAACCCAACAAGAGACGAACCTATAGACATTGAACATTGCAGACTAACTTTCAAAACCTTAGCACAATTTCATGCTATATCCATTGCAATGAAAGAACAGAAACCTCAAGAGTTTGATGCACTAAGAAATGCTATATTTGAAACCTACTTTGATGATAGACTGTGGGATTGGTATGAACGTTTTTGGGAAATGATATTTGCAGTAGCTATTGATGCTGTTGAGAAAGAATATCCAAACACTCATTACGTAGAAGTAATACGAGAATTGTCTGATAAAAAGCACTACAAGGACATGGTCAAAGCGACAAAAACGTATAAGACCGGTGTCATTTCACAAGGTGATCGTTGGACAAGTAATTTTCTTTATGATTACGAAAATTGTGAACTAGTAGATTCGAAGTTGCTTGATTTTCAAGCAAGTCGGTGTGCGAGCCCTGTATTAGATATTTCATGTGTTATTTATTCTTACATGACTCAAGAATTTAGATTGAAACATTATGACGACTTACTGAAGTATTACTACGAAGTATTAGCCCGTCAAGTTAAGGAGATGGGAACTGATCCAGAGAAAGTATATTCTTTGGAAACGTTTATGGATGAAGTCAAGAAGTTTTCTTATTTTGGACTAATTTACAGTTTTGAGGGGATGCCCGCTATCCTTTTGGAATGTACTGATGATGCTTTCGAAATGGATGTAGAGGTACCTTATATTTTGTCTATAATTTTTCTGTTAATTTTGCAGTGGCGTTGATAATAAGGCCATTTGTCGTCGCATCACAAGCACAAATGCAGATGCATTCTCGTTTTTATGGGCCACGTGAATGACGTGAGACGAATTCTAACGCAATTTAGGACTGTTACTGAACCGCATGACTAGATACCGTTAGGACCTGAACAGTGCAACGCGGACGAGCGGGTGCAGTGTGTTACGGATGAATTGAATGCTCTCCGCAACCGCGTCGCATAGCCCCGAATTTGCTTAATATAGGCACAATACATTTCATAAATTAGGTTATCCGCATCGCACTGGCGGGCTACTTTTTTTCTCTGCTAGGGGCCTAAATTTTCAAATTATGTTTTAATTTTGTAAGGAAAGCAATTATTAATTTGGCCATTGGTCACTAAAATTACGGTCGTTTTCAGAAAAAAGTTACTCGTGTTAAGTATAATCTATTCAGTAGATATCTATGTAAATGTTTCCATATTCTCAGCTCTAATGCTGTGTTACTTTAGAACATTTGTCTTTAAAATATGTGGTGATTTTTTCTTTATTTCTTAGTCTCCAAACTTGGTCCGCACCTGTTTGGGGAGACATCATATGTTTTCAAAGATTTTTATGATTTTACAAATTAGCATCGATGGCGACTAAATAAACCTTAATTTTATTTCAGGGTGACCAAAAAATGAACATTGCGGACGTATGGAAAGTAAAACCGTTCACAACAAAAGAGGACAGGCTGCGTGTGGCCAATAATTTGGTATTTGGTGTTGACAGGGGATACGTACCTATAAGTAATTAACGTACATAAATTTTATGCTAGCAACACGTGGAACAGCTACCGTTGCATAGCGCGGCCGGTGCAGGAATTTCGCCATAGTGTACGTTCATTTACTTCTATTTCATATTGTGTCAGGTGTCAAGCCCTCTAATGAATGTAATTTCTTGTAAAGTGAGTGCTCTAATCCGACAGAAAATCGGCATGTGGGGTTCTCTATGGGTATGTATCTACCATGGCGGACTGCCATGCAGAGATCCTGGGTTCGATTCCCAGGCCAGGGGAAATATGTGTATGGCCTACATTTATTTCTCTCGTGAGTTTGGGTGTAATTTGTGGTTGTCTATGTGTGTGTCCATGGCACCCGCGACATAGGGTTTCCCTAGTGCGGAGCTATGTTGAGTGTATGCGTTATTATTATTATTATGGGTGGTTGATCATAATTTGCGGTCAAAATTTATTTTTTGCCTTTTTTCAATATGGCTGCCATA